GTCATAATAAAATACATGAAAATTTTGTTCTGAGTCAACCTTGATAGATTGATTTATTCTGAAGTCTTTGCTCCATAACTACAATTTTTAAAGTTGAAAATACTTTGCTCATCTCGATTCAAGTAAGCTAAGCCTATACTTATACCAATCCAAAAAGTCATTTAGATCTAGCGCCTGGAAAAGTGAGAGGACAGACAGAAATGATGACACAAGAGAGAAAAGAAATGATACAACATTCTTATTCACTAAAGAAAATGTGCTTGTGCAATCACTTGTGTTGTACACCGGTGCCAATGGTAACTTCCTTTTTTTTCACCTTTGTTGTTTGTTTGTTTGTCCATTTGTCTTCCTTTTTCTCTGCACTAAAAGGCTGTAACATATCACTGTGCTTTAAACTAGCGTAGCTCAAACTAAAACAGCTGCACAGATTGTCAGTACAGCCCTCTCAGGCTTTTGTATTCTATGAAAAAGCACATGACGTCACTGACCGTTAGATGACTCAATCATCTATTCATTATGATCATTAGCGTTTTGTGCCTCCATCAACACAATTTAGATCCTTTACGAGGTGGGCTACTTGCACCCTGTTTGTCTGTGCCAAGCCGAAGTGAAACTGAGAGGGATAGAAAATCTCAGTACACAGCTAATGGAGATATTTGATCTAAAAAAAACTCCCCTCTTGGGAATCGAACTCGTCTTTCTCCTTTGTTTCAGTAGAAGTTTTACGGCACTCGCAGCTGCATAGGGTTATATGAGCACCAGAAGATTAGAGGTGTTACAAGAGAGTAACAAACATAAAAAAGAAGAAGGGGAGATGAGGACAATAGATTTTTTATAGGAAAGAAGAAGCAAACCACACCAGAGCACCCGCCAACCACCCACCCGTCGTCTTTCTCCTGCAACAGCAAAGAGCCCAATTACCATACCACATGCCAGTGTGTACTAAACTGTCAAGTCTATGATGGAAATCCACAGAAAGTTTGAGAAAGAAAGAGCCACCAACCTCTTGTTTCAACAATGTGGATAGGACTGGCGAGTGTAAAGTATGGGTTTAATTTTCCTATGTATAAAAATTGTAATTATTTAACTGGCAGAACCACTGATACATTACTAGTCCATCTGTGAAAAGATTGAGCCAAGTAGGAAGAGGGCCTTGAAAATGAGTAGCACATCAACACAATAACGGTCATTTAGTGCTGGAAAAAAGTAAGAGACAGACAGACAGACAAAATCAACAGAGGGAAAGTAAAGAAATAGGATCTACCAGTAGCACCATCCAACCAACCGCTCACATCATAACTTCCTCAGCAGAAACTACATGTTGTTGGTTTAGTTTCAGTTACAGTTTTACAGCACTTGCAACACAAATAGGTCAAATAAGTGCTGAAGCTTAGAAGTGCTACAAGAGAGTAACATACTAAGAGCATACTTTGTAAGCATTTCATTCAAAAGATAGAAGTCCAATCAACTATTCAATGGTAATCATTAAATATTTATTTCTTCAATTCCAAAATTTGGAATTTTTTACACAAAAACATTCACAGTTCAATTAGTTCAACATATATACAAACACAAAAAATGTCAGAGCCAACCTGAATTGAGTGGGATACTTTTTTCCAGCAAAAAGACAGAGATACATACTTGATAAGATATCTAATTGTTGTATTTTATTACAAGTTTTATGGCATGTGCATCACAAATAGGTCATACATGTGCTGAAGATTAGAGACATAACAAGACAGAGTGGGAAACACAAAAAAGAAAGAAGAGAAGTAAGGATGACAGATCTTTGATTGGAAAAAAAGAGCAAACCACACCAGAGCACACACCAACCACCTACACATTTCTTCATGTGGGAATCAAATTCGTTACTTTTGTATACAAAATGAACAGAATAGTCATCACACAACAGAGGGTGGTATTTATTATGTGTAAAGGAGGGGTGTTAAACTTCAGTAAAAAGAAAAGCAAATTTGTGTGTGGCATATCACAACAACTTTATGGACCTTCAATACCCCTTGATCTATCAAAGCAACAGGTCTGCAACTTTTACAACTAGTAAAAAAGAACTAGGACAAGTCAATCCGAAGGTTTAATCCTCAAGTCCATAGAATATGACAATGACAATAAAAAATTACTGTATTGTACCTAATGAGAACAATTTTTGTACTGTAAAAGTAAAGCACAAGGCAAGGAGATACCTGATCAAGACTAACAGAACTACTCATTAAGACTAGAATACTCCCTTCCTTACTTATTTATGTGGACGAAGCCACCAAATCCACATTATATTATAAATATACGCATAAACAATCATTAGAGAGATGGAACATGAACTAATAGCGAGGATGGGCCATCAATGATTCACACAAAACAAAAAAGAACCTGCTGGGTCAAAGCATTCACTTTACTCCTACTTTATATCTGTAAAACTTTGTTAAAATATAGGTCATATATACTATTGACATCCTTGAAAATTTGCCAAATTCAGTTTGAGTAAAAATATTGATAAACTAAACTAAAATAAAAATATCTTTGAAAATCATTTTGCAATGTTTGCTCATTAAAATCTTCAATTCAGTTGTAAGTCTGAGAGTGACTGATATTCTAATGAATAACCAAAAAAAGCACCTCCAACATGCGCAAACAAGTTACACACAAGTGTTTTAATGTGAGAGACAAAAACACAGCAGTGTCTCTTCCCATAAATTGACAAACTGTAATACAGCTATTGACATCTGTGTGCATTATAAAAATGCCAAAAGTACCCACATTTGTGTGCAAATGACAGACTTGGAGTGTGTGTGTATGTTCGTTTTAAATGGTAATAATAAAAATAACGGATCACCTTGTACAACTTATTACTCCCCTCGGGATGCTCAATACGCCGTACAACAAAGATTACACTAACAAATCAAATACCCTAATACTAATAATTAACAGCAAAAACATGAATAAACATTGTCTATCTCTCTCAAAAACAAATAAACGTCTCTCTCTCTCTCCCCCTCAACCTATCTAATTTGATTTTAGTCGGAACAATGCAACGATCAAAGCACGTTGACCACACAGTCCAGCTGTCTCTAATGGCCACATGTCCAGGACAAATCGCCCGTACCACTCCCCCTCCCCTGCATTTTCCTGTATCCCCATTGCGCTAGTAAAATGGCATAATTCAGCGGAGTTGCGTCAAAATGCACCTAGCCTTTTATTTTGCTCTGTGGTACCTCACTATATATCTATCTTTTGGTGAAATCAAAACAATATTGTGCTGGCAATCACAAAAGAAACAAGCATGGCAAGTTATACCATTATTAGATGATACCTTTGTGCCCCCCCTCCCCAAACCCGTAATATTACATTATTCGCGTAATAATAATAATAATAATATGACATTTATATTGCGCAAATCCGTGTTACAATCATTCTTCTATGCGTTTTACTTTTATATAATAGTATTCATGAAAAACATGAATACACACATGTGATAATAATCAAATACGGTACAAGCAGAACTTTTCCGGAAAAACTTACGGTGTCATTTTACCACTTCAACCGCACTGGTGTAATCCAAATTAGACTCGATCTACATGTCATGTCGTGCTTGCCGCTTAAGGACCTACTGTATCACCGCAATGCTGTGCTTACCGCCTCTATGTGAATAGTATGGTTACTCTTTTTTCTGTTATTTTTTAAAAAATGTTGTCAATAAATTATTTTTTCACCGTACAAAAGTGTAATCTTACATTGGTTCAAGACCCCCGACCCCCCTACACTTTTCTTTTACAAGAGTCAAAGACCCCCCCCCCCCCACTTCCAGGCTTAAGATTATATTTGAACATCCCCTTTAGGTGTTTTCTGGATGAATCGATCCTTGTCTAGATCTACCCTCCTAGCCTAAGTTTTAAAGTCTTTCATAAATTTTTATGCTAGATCTATCTACCTGGTGCTACGGAACCAAGTAAGCTAAGTAATCAGACAATCGTATTCACGATTGATTTACTCTAGATCTAGCTAGAAGATGATTCAGTCCAAACAGGACTATAATTGGGGGGTCGGGTCGGTTTGCTCGCCAGATTGTTGGCGCAAAGCGGCTATCGTGGCACAAGTCGATCGCGCCCGACTCGTTGCCTCAAAAACAAACAGGCAAAAGAGCCGGGCGATCATCCCGACCCGACCCGTCCTGATCCCATCCGCAATGGTCTCCACAGTGCAAAGGAACGAATTGTTCCCCTTGGTGTAGTTGTTTTTAGTCGTGGAAGAAAGTTTCGGTATTTTTAACTAAATCTTATTATAATTTTCCCAACTTTTGCGGAAAATTGGCTAAAATTAGCAAATTCACGAAAATGGCAAAAGTTTTGAGCGCGCAAGTTGCGGGTTACGGGCGCAAATTTCTCTGAGGTCAGTACAGTGGAACTCAGATTCAAAGAGGCTGCCGGGCCTGACCTAAAATCTCTTTGAATCCGAGTGTTGGTTATAGCAAACAAGGTTTTGTGTAGATACACTGGGCAGGTAATGTATAAAGAGAAGTAACAAGTGGTGCCTGAGATGCCTGCATATTATGAGCTGTGCTAAAAAAAAAATACTGATTCGTTCAAATGCACGCCTGTGCCCTCTCAATTGTTTGCCAAAAAGTTGTGTTGCTGTGTAAAGCCTAGCATGCGGCAACTTTTGATTCCATAGACCAGTGCACAATTCATTACGTAGATCTATGTCAAGACTAGCTTATCATTGTAATAATGATCAGTTGCCGGGTGAAAAAAAAGACTGAGGCGTATTGTATCTGTGACATTCCACGCACGTCCGGACCGCCAGTGCGTGCCCCCCCCCCCCCCCCCCCCCCCCCGCAGACATGCACACAGTCACACATGTGAGGCCCCCCATCTGACCGCGACACACGCTCGAGTAGACACATGCACGTGCCAACAACACAGGTGTTGGTATGAAAGAAGGCCTCTGATTGGTAACATGCAATCGGCTGAGTGAATAATGGTTCACGATGTAGGTGCAATGGATGGTTTCAGGGAACAAAGTTCGTTGTGGGAGAAAAATGAGCGAAGCCACGTCGGTGGGGGGGCTGTTCACCATGGAAGCGACCTCCTTGAATCCGAGCTTGCTGATTTAAGTGTTAGTTGAATCAGAGTTATTTTCATTGATTTTAAAGAAAAAAAACCCCCAGGGAATCCATCTCCTTTTGTTGAATCCGAAGTCCACTGTATATAAAATATATTATAACGACTCTGTCCCAGGCATCCACCTGTCTTGAACGATCATGTTTTTCCTTTACAGCAGGTGGCCATCTTGTACTAAAAATCTTGATGGGAACCTTGTAAGATTATTCATGGCACACAAAAGATGCTTCAGTCATCCTCCACAGTGTTGAGGAACACTTTCTGGTCCAGACTGTTCAAGTACTTCACCTCGTCACCTCGGAGACTGAGGGTTTCTGAAGCTAGTTTTGGCCCAGATTTCTCCTGAAATTAAAGAAAAGGAAACACATTATTGTCATCTCATTTTTTAGAGAAGTATATTCATCTAAGGAGGGAATTTCAAAATGTATTTAAATCAGGGTACACTTGGTTTCAGAGGTTAGGATGGGGGGGGGGGGGGGGGGGACTACACAGACCATAAACGTATCAAAATAATCCTTTGTAATATCCAGTGCACAGAGAAATTGTTGCTTTTTCAGACCAATTTAAACAAACATTCAGTGTTGTCAACACTGAGGACATCTTACAATTAATGATGCAAACAGTAATTGCAAGAAAATGCAGTTGCTGAGCTTCAGTTTACAGCAAACCACAACAATACAAGCCATCTTTCACAAAGATATGGTTGTTTTTAGTAAAAGTTTTACAGCTCTTGAAATACAATTTTGTCTTAAAAGTGCTGAAGTTTAGAGGTGTTGCGAGAGAGTAAAAAACACAAAAAAGGAGGAGAGATAAGGATGATAGATGTTGGATAGGAAAGAAGGAGGAGAGATAAGGATGATAGATGTCTGATAAGAAAGAAGGAGGAGAGATAAGGATGATAGATGTCTGATAAGAAAGAAGGAGGAGAGATAAGGATGATAGATGTCTGATAAGAAAGAAGGATGATAGATGTCTGATAAGAAAGAAGGAGGAGAGATAAGGATGATAGATGTCTGATAAGAAAGAAGGAGCAAAGCACATAAAGACCAAAGCACCTGCCAACCACCCACAGTTATGGTTGAGTACCAGTTTACAAGTCAAGGTGAAACCAGCCACATCATGCAACGAACAGACTACAGTCGAACCTGTGTAAGACGGTCACCCATTGTCAAGGAGAAAAGTGGCCGTATAAGACAGGCGGCCGTCTTAGGCAGGACTAATCAAGATGAAGAAAACAAACAATTCCTTTCTGAGGTCCCAACCAAAGGTAGCCGAATTGTTGTTGTTGTTATTGTGTTGTTTTCTTTTTTTCCTTTTGTTGCTGCTTTTGTGCAAGGGTGACAATAAAACTAAATGTATCAGACAAGGACGGCTGAGTGCTATGGTAAAACAAACACATGGGTCGCCACCGCTCGGAGAAGGAGAGACGCTTCTGTCACAAGTTCATGTTGATGCCCTTTGTTACTTTGTTACGGCCTGGGTAAACAGTGACCACCCATCTCACTTACGATTTGTGATGAGTTCTGGGCAGGGCTTATGGGACATGAGGGATCACACTTACCCCACCAGCAGCTGAAAATTTGTTACCTATTGGACAACAGTGGGTGGGGCCTATGCAACATGACCGGTTGGAGGGACTAACTTACAACAATGATAGGTGATTGGATTATGACGGCCCGTCCACAACGCCAGGGGCCAATGTATGATTTATGACCAAACGTAATGGAGTCACTAAGGAGGCCGTCTAAAACAGGTGTTATTGTTTGGTGCGATAGGGGGTGTTTTACAGTTAAATTATATAGAAAAAAAGCAAGGGGGGAAATGGAAAGTGGCAGTTTGTACAGGTGGCCGTCATGGCAGGTTCGACTGTAGTTAGTTTTAGTTAAGGTTTTATGGCGTTCGCAACTGAATAAGGTCATATGAGCGCCAGAAGATTAGAGGTGTTACAAGAGAGTAACAAACATAAAAAAGAAGAAGGGGAGATAAGGACGATAGATCTTTGATAGGGAAGAAGGAGCAAACCACACCAGAGCACCTGCCAACCACCCGCATTGAACAGACTAGAAAAATGGTAACATTAAAGAAATGCAGGAGCACACCCCACCAACTATCTGCATTTTATGAGAAACAGACTACACCAAGAGTAACAGTAAAGAGAAATACAAGGGACAGACCTCAACCCTATTCACCAACCACCAGAAATAGTAAGAAACAAATGAATTATCCCAAATAGGAATAGAACTCACTAAACTTCAACATGCAACAGGCCTAACTTACAGAAACCAGTAATAGTAAACTATGACAATTAGATAAAAATGATCTTTTTTAAAACATTTTCCATCTACGTAGCTCGTACAACACTTATCCCTATGGACCAGGATACAGGAGCGGAACGCATTATATCACACCGGCGTCGACCAGCGTCCCGTGGGGAAAAGGGACGGCTTCTTTCCGTTGCCGATCGGCGTCCCGAGGGGGCAAAGTGTTAAATGTCATTACTGTTGCTGTTGTTATCGATCCAGATAATTTTTTTAATGTGTTGCACAATTCAAAGCCATTTCAGTGGTGTTGAACCCGAACAGACTGATCCATGAACAGCTAATTATCAACCCATTCGAATACAAATTGTAATTTCTCTCTTCAATATTAAAATTTCAGGTCAAAAGGCTAATACCTCAAATCTACTTCACATAAACTGAGGACACGGTACCAAAGACGTGCTCATACTCATGATCAGACTGACAGGATTTGTAGATGTTGTTAAGAAAAAGAATACACAAAGAACCTAAAAAAAAGGGGTGAAATGATAATGTCTATATACACACTAATAGGTTATTTAAGAGGCGGGACCTCCAAGTTTAACGTCCGTCTCCAATAGGACCAAGCCAAGTGGGAAATTTGTGTAAAATGTCTTTCCCAAGGACACACATCGGACCCAGCTAAGGTCCGAACCCCCAAACCCGCAATCTCACGATTAACCACTAGGCTACCTACGTCACACACAGAACCTGTAACAATTCCTGTCACACACAAGCAACTTTTCACTATCAGAGATTGATGATTACCTGATACATAGATGTTTTCTCATAGGACGCTGAGCCACATTTCCTGGGGAAAAATAAAAACAAATAATCATCAATTCTGTTCAAAGATGAAAAACGTGCAATACGTAATTGAAAAATTGAAAAAATCAACATATTAGAGGTGAATTTTTAAAACACATACAAAAATATCTTTAAGGCTTTTTTCCTAGCATCAATAAAGCAGAGTCCATCTTTTGCTGCAGTAGAGCTGCCCAGATGTAAGGGAATATCTACACGTCACTGACAGTAAACAAATCTTGCCCAAAGAAAACCCAGAAAATAGCCAACTGGAGACTTCCTAACCTCCTCGTGACCTATGCCGTTCGTCATTTTTTCTTACACAGCGAAGGAGCCAAAATGCTGAAAAGCAAAAGGACCATAATGACAAACACCCTTTGCAATAGGTTTTATTTGGCATACTGCTTCTATTACATGCATTTTGTATTATGCAGATTCACATTCAGCGAAATTTTCTTCTCATACAAAGAAATCTTTTCCTTTTAGGGAGAATTAGTAGTATTGACAAACCAACTTTAATTATAGGCAACGGATTACTAAATCTAGTGCTATTCTTTGTCCCTGGGGATCCAAAACTATGTGCAGTCAAGCACGAACTGGCCCAGTGTCATGAAGGGGTTATTTCTCTCTTTTTTTTTTTCTTTCAAAAATAGAAAATAAAACATTTTCAAACCGCCCAGACTTACTTGCATGACTCTGTGGGGAATTTCCCTCCCACCACAGAGGTCCTGTATTTGCATTTTCGACACACAAAGAAACGCTTCTTGGCCTTTGACTTTGAGATCACATGACCTTCCTTCCTGCATGAGTCCAGCGCATGTTGGGCTGTGTACTGACACTGAGGGGGAGAAAATGTCAGAGGAATTAAAATCTGAAAGTTTTATTTCAATATAATATATGTTTTGAGTTAAGAGTTTACCTGACAAAAAAGTCACTATAGAGCTACTGTCACAAAATCAAACCCTGTATTATAACTGGTATGTTGGTTGTGAGTAAAGAAAAAACTCAGAAGAACAGCTGTGTTCCAGAAATGAATTTGAACTCAATTTATGAATCTTTGTCATTGCCATCAGGATTTACCAAAATGAGCTACCTGCATGGTCTTCACTAAAGTTGGGAATAAACTTTCACTTTTACCAAAGACCTCAGTCACTAAAAGTATATATTCCCTTACATGAGCCCAGCAACAAAACTGCTTTTAGCAGTTTGGTAACAGCTTTATTTATAGAGCTGAAAATATATAAGGTCAACCAACCAAAGTACCAAAAAGCACTCTTATAGTCTGACAACCATATCACTGTTGGTGGACATCCTGCTTCCTTCACGTCATATGTGACTAACAGTAGTAGGTTTCATATTGGGGGAAAAAAAGGTTTTTACATTTATGCTAAATTTCACAAACCTATTCAAACTGAAAGTTCAGCTGAGAGTTTAACAGCACAAAAGGTATAGATCACAACGCAAGCTGTTCAAATATCCTCAGCCCAGAAAAAAAAATTTTTCTGAACAGAAAAACAAAACAAACAAAAACGTTTTAATTCTTTTACAAATTGACCTTCATTGTGTATCCTTTCTTGCTTTTTATCTCTTCAAAAATTTAGAATTTAAATTTTGATTAGATATTTCACCAGCTCATGGTGCAACTAATATCACAGAATGCAATAACTGTTTTTTTCCTTCAACATTTTGAGATTCCTACATTTGAACATGCCAGAGCCATGAAGAAGTTTTGATAAGTGGCATAAACAAGAATAAAGACAACGCTCAAACTAACTCTACTCTAAAGCACATTCCATGGAGAGTACTGATTGTGTTCTAGGCACTGACAGATCAAATTTACAAATAAAAAATAGTGAAATTGGTCGTCTTGTACATAATATGTTATAATTTCTTGAAGCAAAATATTTTCAAATAGGTGATGGGATGACGGCATGCCACCTAGAACTGAAATACCTACCTGCTTACAAGTGAAGAGCGACACCTCAATGGAGGTTACACTCTGCATTTTCTCCTCTAGCTTCTCCTTTTTCTCAAGGGCAGTGAAGTAAGCATCCTCTCTCTCCAGCTCCGCCTGTAAGATTTGAATAAGATTTATATTGGTATGAACGGAAAAATAAATGACATATATAGTCAATACATAAAAAGGTCGAAGCAAGAGTTTCAAAAATTCATTAAGTCCATCAAACAAAAACCATACAAGTCTGATACAGTGGAACTCGGATTTAACGAGGTCGCCGGACCTGAATTAAAATCTCGTTGAATGCGAGTGTTGGTTATAGCAAACATAAGGTTTTGTGTTGATAATTACAGGCATTGAGCAAGTAATGTATAAAGAGAACTAATAAGTGGTGCTTGAAATGCCTGCATATTATGAGCTGAGCAAAAAAAAAAAAAGAGATCAATTCGTTCAAATGCACGCCTGTGTCATCTTGATTGTGTGCCAAAAAGTTGTGTTGCTGTGTAGAACCTAGCATGAGGCAACTTTTGATTCCATATGCCAGACCAAAATTCATTACGTAAATCTATGTCAAAAATGATCAGTTGCCGGAGGAAAAAAGACTGGCGCGTTTGTATCTGCCATGTGTGCAAGCCGCCCATCCGACCTAGACACATGCTAGGCCTACAGAAAACACGTGTGCGTGCCAACAACGTTTGTGTTGGTATGAAAGAAGGCCTTTGATCGGTCGCATGCAATCAGCTAAGCGAATATATAATGGTTCACAATGCAGATACAATGGATGGTTTCCAGGAATAGATAAAGTTCGTTGTGGGAGAAAAATGAGCGAAGCTACGTCTGCGGGGGCTGTTCACCCTGGAAGCCACCTCCTTGAATCCGAGCTTGCTGATTTAAGTGCTCGTTGAATCCAGGTTATTTTTATTGATTTTAAAGAAGAAAAAAAAAGGCGAATCCATCTCCTCTCGTTGAATCTGTGTTCTCGTTGAATCCGAGTTCCACTGTATATCTCATCTTAAAAACTCAAAGCTAAAAAAATACATACATTTACTGCAAGTAAGTAATAATGTAACCCCCCCCAGAGTCATTAGGTCGTTCTACATACCAATCATGGTACATGGTAATCATTTTCTTTTCGGCATTGACAAAACTTTTAAATTATATTCAAAATCAAATTCTTTAATTTTAAAAAACCGAATAACGATTTAAAGTACATTTCCAAGCAAACAAGTCCAAGAAAACTGCTCTTATCCAAAAATCTGTATTAAACGTTGCTCAAGAAAGTAAATGGAAGTCTCAACAATCTTCACCCTAAATACTGACTTATCTCCAGCTGTTCTAGTTACACAATGTTCATGTTCATGAGCAAGTTAAATAAAATTTCAAACATTAGAAAAAAAACCATTACCTCCGTGAGGGCCCCTTGGTGTTTGGAGCGTGCCTTCAAGATTGCCTTGATCTCATCAGAGTTAAGATCGACATTCCCCAAGAGCCGAGACTTTTTCTTCGGTGGTTCCTTCACAGCTGATGAGGAACTGGTCGACGGCCGACTCGAACCTGCTGATGATGATGATGATGAACTCTCTTCCCCTGAAGACCCCTGTCCTGGAAGACCGATTATAAATGGTGAAAGCAATTGATAAATATATCACATCTATGAGATTATCCCATTCACAAACTGTACTTGAAATTAACAAAAATACACATGTACATGTACGAGAGTCAAATTCCCAAATAAAACATGCCTGTGTCCACTGATTGACTGGGGGTGTGCCCCTGAGAAAGACAGGATAACCCTGGCTCAAAAACTGAGTACTACACCACAGCAACAGATAATCAGAATGTGTGGGGGGGGGGGGGGGGGGGCGCTTCTGTTTCAATTTCTGATGTAATATTATTTACTATTATGAAAGCCCTTAAAAACAAACCTTTCTGCAGGACTAATAAAGCTGTTACTTCTTATTTTTTCCCCTCATATGAATATCTACAGTTTGGATTAGAGACAAGATGCATGGCGCGGTTTGCAGCATCAGCTTGAACCATAATCTCAAGACATATATATAGAAGAAAGTAAGAATACCATTATGGTCCCCCAAAAAAGGCTGGAGTCTGATCTTTTTGACATTTCTGCCTCTGTTCTTAACTCAAGTTTTCTATTCTCTCTCTGCACTTGTAGGTCATCGCCGAGAAATCAGGCCCTTGTCAAATTTTAGAAAACAGCAAACAGTGTTTTTCCAGCTGTCCAGCAATGTTAATCTAAAAATTTTATTTTTGCACAGAAACATTCTCTATCCATAAAAGAACTCACTTTTGGGTGAAATTTACCAAAAATGCTGTTCAAAGCTATAAAAATACATTATTTTGTAGAACAAATACAAGTATTCAGCTTTAAAAGTCACTAAACTTTGGTGGCCATTTTTTTGCTAATTTCACCTGCAACAGCAAGTTATTCCTGCCTTCTCAAATCGCATACATCTCAACTTTTATACAAGTTGAGATCAATATTTTATGCAACAAGTTCCAGAAAACGAAACAAGCATCATTAATTTGATAGCAATAACTTCATACGCCCAAAAATTGACAAGAGCCTGATTTCATCATGCTGCAACACATGTCATGTAAAGTGGCCTGCACAAGTATCTAAAAAGACCTGTAATAACACAAAGTCAATGTTAATAGTTCCATCTTCTGTCACAAAGTGGGCTCTCATTTCAAGTTAAAACACAGTATTGTTACCTGTTTCTTTCTGAACTCTTTTCTTGATCTTGTCTACATCCTTCTCGCTTTTTACAGCATTAGGGTCTTCTTTCTTAATACCGCCTTTTCCTTGCACAGCAGCTATGGCCTTCAGCTGGAAGAGTGGAAAAAGGTGAAATAGTATAGGTTTAACACCCCTATCAACACTATTAGGTTATTTAAAAGGCGGGATCTCCCAGTTTAACGTCCAGCTCCAAAAGGACCCAGCCAAATGGGAAATTCATGTAAAATACCTTTCCCTGGGAGACAAAGTCAGACTGAGCTAAAGCTTGAACCCGCTGGGAGAGTGATTGAAAGAATGATAGGGGTAGACAATATGTTATCTTACTCAAGAATTATATTGATACACATAAAACTTTTTGTTGGCTGAAAGCACTGAACACAGGTGGCAAACTGATTTTTCTCAATCATAATAGCCAAGATAACTAGTATTATAATTTTTGATTCAGTAGGTTTTACGGCGCTCGCAACTGCATAAGGTCATATGAGCACCAAGGGGTGAATGTCAACAGAAAAGTCCTTACAGGGAATCAGGCTAACTCTGCTCATCTCTCTAGCTTCAACAACACAAAGTCTGCTTCGATTATCAAGGCACCCTGGAAATAGCGGGTCACAAGAGTGTGACAAATATACAAAAAAAGTAGAGGAAAAATGACGATAGTAAGGATTAGGAAAGAAAAAGTAGCAGTTCCCTGTTGCATTTCAGGCAGTCATGAGCATGACATTGAATTGATGAATCATCCCATTTACAATTCTACTGTGCATATAAGAACATGCTATGTCCCCCCTTTGGGAATGGCCTAAAGACACTTCAGTCAGTAGCAGGAGGGGGGGGGGGGGGGGGAACTAGAATTAAGAAGAGAGATACTTTTATGATCTTATTACGTTCATGCTGCATTAAAAGGACATAGGGAAAAGAAAAGACTTAGGACTAGAAACTATTATGTTTGTTTTTGTAAAGTGTTTTACGGCGCTCGCAACTGCATAAGGTCATATGAGTGCGCGGGACACACCTAATATTTTCAGTTGGTGAGAAATTTTGAATTTTGCTCGGGTGGCGGCCGAAGCCTACTCTTATCGATTTTAGACCACCAAAGGATCTTTAACGTGCGCAACTTGCACACGGGCCCTCCGAGATTTTTCGCCCTTGTCCAAGAAGGCTAGGTGTAGATCTTTCATACCAGAAGATCAGGGGTGTGGCAGAAAGACAGCAGTAAGGAGGAGCCAAGGAGTAGCAGTAGAAAGGCTGCAGAGAGCGTCAGGAGCCCAGAGGAGGGGGCAAAGGAGGTGAGGGGGGTGGGGGCAGAAAGTGGAAATGAAAGCAGACAACAGAACATTGTTAGAGAGCAGGAAAGGAGGTGAAAGGAGACAATTTTAGAGAAGAAAATTTTTCGGTCGCTACCCGGATTCGAACCCGGGATCTTTGAATGAGAGGCCAACTTCTTAACCTCTAGGCCACGAGAGCCCCCTTAGAAACTATTAAATGAAATGAATCATGAATCTGTTTCGAAAACATCTAAATAAGACAGACGTCTTTGTCATAATTTAGTGATCAGTACTCACATTTGATGATTTTACACAGTGTAGCATATTATTAGGCTGCCTGTTTCTGTAACCAAATCTGTCATTAATAAAGTGAAAAAAAGAAATCGAAATCTCAGTGATCAGTGAATGTCTCACTATACGTGAAACCAGCCGTATTTGCTTTTCCGTTAAGCACGTCTGTCACAACACCAAACATAACAACAACAAAAAAATAAAAATCTGTTTTAGCCTTTATCAAAATGACCCCACGTATCAAATCAGAAGCAGATCTCACCTTTGCTCTATCTGCTGCAGTAGCAGGTGACTTCTTCACTTCCAGCGAGATGTCTTGTCCGCTGTAAAATCCTTTACCCAGAACAGGCCTCTCCATGAGAGGATCAACTTTCTGGATCTTCTTTTCCGCCTCCGCAACAGCAGCGACAGCTGCAGCCCGCTTCCTCTCCGCCTGCTTCTGTTTCATCTCCTGCTGATGCTGCTTGATGAGCTCCTTTGGAGTAACACTCTGGATTGGAGATGGTTTCGGTGAAGATGTGCCGGTGCTGCTTCCCGCACGAGTTGCTTTACCCTTCTTTTCTTCACGGTTTTTGAGAAATGCCACTAGATTCATGGAGCCTGGAGAGGGGACCGCCACCATGTCGGCAAAGGCAACCTCCCCGTCCTCCATCAGTCTTGAAGTTGAGGTTGAAGCGGGACGAACATTTCCCTTGTTGCCGGTGGCGGCAGAGCCAGACTGCGCTTTGATATTGTGAATACTCAGTGTGTTCACTTGTCCTTTAGGTGCCGCCTGTTGAAGTTTAGCTAACGTTAGTCCTTTCTTAGATTTGTTGCCATTAGATGCTGAGCTGTTCGGCACATAGGTACAACCACCGTACATATATGCACAATCTTTTGAAAAAATTTTCTTTTCAAAAGACTTGGGTTTGACGCCAGTAATACTACCATGAAGTTCAAGTCTCTTGGCAGATGTCCTCCTGTACTCAGCCTGCACATGATAAGCACAATACTCCCCAAATTTTTTATTGATGAAGTGCGAACACTTATTTCCCTTCTTAGTCCGACCAATACACCAACCCAGATCCTTGGACCTGCCCATAATCATCAACTGGTTAGAGTTTTTGATTGTGAATGCTGGCTCACTATTGTTTCTGTCCATGCTCTCCATAATGGAAGGGTTGAGGACACCAATCACAGTGCCCACTTCGAGCTTCCAGTGAGTTTTGTACACTTCTCCAAACAGGAAAAAACTGACAGAATTGTCCAAGTCATCTAAATCGTTCAACTTCCATATAGAATATGGTTTTCCCGTTTTAGAAGCTTTTGCTTCGGTTTTCCCAACCATAACAGCAATAGTCACCCAGTCTCCCTGAAGGTCCGGGGTCTTCAGCTTCAGGTGTATTTTTGACACACCAATCATCTTACGACCTTCCATCCTTGTCCTCATCATGTAGGAGGACACGAGAGGATTTACTATACGAATTTTCGAATAATCCTCGACGACAAATTTCTCCTCTGTTTCAGTAGCACCTGAAGACTTGGCTTGTTTCTGCTCTGATGACGAAGATTTACACTGAAGAGAATTTTTGTCAACCTTTTTCTGAAGATTTGAATTCTGGCTCAGTCTGCTTTCTTCGTCAACGGATGAATGGGCTGACCATGACTGACTCTTTGGATACGCAGACTCATTCATTTTATATTTCGGCTGGTGGGCCTCTCGTTTGCACTCACCAGAAGTAATGAGCCTTTTGATGTCTTTCCCTGCCTCACTCAGTGACCGTTTATCTTCCCCATCCAAACCCTCCCAGTCACTATCGCTATCTCCAAACAACTCTCGAGACATTTCTGCTTTCTTTGACTTGCCTTTCTGCTGAGACCCAGAACATGCTTTATTGACCGATGCACTTTTCATCTTATTCGCTGAACTAGACGAGGCGCCTTTAAAAAATAAATTATCTCCATCATCAGAAACAAGTTGAAAAGATCTTCCAGCATCAGGAGCTTTCTCTGAAAAAACCTTAGAACTTTTCCTGGAAGAATTAGGAGGACTTGTACTGGAAGAGTTAGGAGGACTTTTACTAGAAGAACTGGCTGTATTTTCTTGGAAAAATATTGATTTCTTTTTCTCAGAATGCTTAGGGGCTGGCTGCTGTGTCAAAGGCTGCTGTTGCTGCTGAGCTAACATTTTCTGCAACTCAAGCATCTGTTGTTGCATTTGCGCCATTTGTGCTCTTAAGAGATCTGTTTCATTTTGACTACCCAAATTCACATCACTAGACTGGCTTGAGCTAGAACTATTCACCTGTACCTTCTGACTGCTAGGAGAAAGATTTTGTTTTACAGACTTGTGACGTTCATCTTTCTTGGAACTATTTTTCGATTTTGATGAGCTATCAACACTTTTCATCTTATTTCTGTCTTTCTCATTTGCCTTGGGAGCAAGAGACTTCTCTTGCTTCACAGCCTTCTCCACAACTGCATCTATTTCATTGACATCTGGGTCATCATCGTCCATCAGGCTTGCCAGGACATCTGGGTCATCAGTTGGTCCTTCATGATTAGACCAAAGTTAAAATTCATTGAAGAACATAAAAATCAAAGAAGTCTGAACAAAGAGCAGGATGATTTAAGTTGTCCTTAATTTCTACAAGTTATGATAGTAGAAAGGGGCAAGGGAGGGAGAGGAGGGGAGGGACGGAGGGAGGGAGGGAGAGAGAGTGAGAAAGAGAGAGAGAGAGAGAGAGAGAGAGAGAGAGAGAGAGAGAGAGAGAGAGAGAGAGAGAGCAAGGGAGGCACAGAGAGAGAGAAAGAGTGGGAGAGAAAGAGAGGGAGAAAGATAGAGTGAGAGGAAAAAGAGAAAAGAGAAAGAACGAAAGAAAAAAAAGACAGAGAAACAGAAAGTAAGACGAAAAAGAAAAAAAAAGCACAGAAAAGAGATGGACAGAAAGAGCTAAATGAAATATTTATGTGTTCAAATACAATGTAATCTTAGATTTCCCACGCGGAAAAAAATGTCACAATAGTACCGTACTCAGTTCATAGTCATAACATGAAGTACAAATTTATCATTGTAATCCTGTACCAGTCCTTTCTCTAAAAACAGGTTTAGTACAAAATACATAACAGCTCTAGTACAGATTCAAAGGATCAGTTTTCTATAACAGTATAAATGTAAAGTTTATTTTTTAAATTTCAAGTCATATCCACTACCTAAAATCATAAAAAGCGGGTAAAAGTAAAAGTGAACTTCAATTTACAAATATTTCATAACAAAACTGGCTTAGAACTGAGTTCAAACTATGAGCATTATAATATTACAAAATCTGTTAGCTTTTCTTACCAGAGGAAGAAATTCTCCCTGATTTGTCTTTGTCTTTTTCTTTGCAAGCTTCGTCCTCACTGTCAGAAGATTCCTGAAGGAAATCCTCCATGCTCCTTGTCAGATCTGTGTTAGAATTAAGTGAAAGGTTGTATTTTCATGTCTTTTTGAGTCCAGGGGTATTACACGAGTGTCGTAATTGGTTGCTTTTAAGTATGAGGGGGCTTTCCCAAAAAATGCTGTTTTCAGAAAATCGAAGGTAAAGTTTTTGGACCCTTGTTCAGTTTCTTTTTCATGTCAAGAGAAATAAACACATCAGAGTTCAGTCATGAATTCCTTCTTTACTCTCATTCTTCAAAAAATCCAAAATCAATCCCAGTCTTCCAAAAAATTCAAAATCAATCCCAATCTAAAAGAACAAAAATAAAAATCCCCTGATCTTTCAGATAAGAAAAAAACCCAAAAGATAAGAGTAACCATGAAAACAGAACAAGCTGCCTGAACAGTAAACGAACCTGCACTATGGGAGCAGCAAAAAGCACACACATAGTAATTGATCTTACTGCTGGTGAACGAACAAAAACTTAAAAACTAAATATAAAACTATCCCCAAGTTTTTGCCAGGAAAGGCATACAAATCGAACTTTCATCCCATAAAATGAATCAAGTGAGCAAACAAAGAGGTGACCTGCTTGTGGCTTGACTCTGACAGTATGAGACTCGGAGTTCTCTTCCCTCATGTCATCCTCTGCTTCCAGCAAAGCCTGCAGCTCATCCAAGTCACACTGTTCCTCATCCATAATGAGAGCCTCAAAGCAATCGAGCCTTTCCACGACAGATCTATGAACAGCACCTGGTGTCGTCATTGATACACATGTATATTTATATCAAATTAATTTGAGAGTCCACAATTGCAAAAAAAGGAAAGATATCTGAGGATAGAGCTGAAAATTACTAAGAGAAAAATAAAACTAGAGGTAAAGTTATGTAATTTCAATAATCAAAGCAAAAGACTAGATAGATTCTAGTAAAAAATAAAGCTGTTTAAGTTTAGCACGCCACCCCTGTTACCACAAAAAAGGATTAAGAACCCTTGTTTTTTTTCCTCTTTTATAAATAAATTCTATGCATTCAACTTTCCTTAAATTTATCATAAAATCTGCTCAACATTAAAAATCAGCATGGCGGTAGAACAAGTCCAATATCAGGAAATACATGGCACTGGGTAAATCTAAACGACTGTACTGAATTGTAACAATATAGATCTAACCATCTCTTCAAATCAATGATAATCAACTGCTCAGTTTAGTGTAATAGCCTACGGGTGCCAATTGTGGATGGGAACGGTTCGGGTCCGGTTGATCGCCTGACCCGCTGCTTGAAAACCAACGTGTTTGTTTTTAAATTTTAAGTTTTTTAGGTGACGAGTCGGGCGTGATCGGCTTGTGTTGTGCCGCGATAGGTTTCCCTCCTCCCCCCAACCATTTGTCTAGAATTTAGATCTACCACTAGATTCGACTTAAAACGGACTGTAATTTTAGCACAATAACAAAAGGCCGGATCTATTTCTCCGCACGCTCAGGAAAATAAACTTGAACTCTATTTCTCAGAACGGTTTCCGTTCTCGAGATTTTTTGGTTAGATTAGCCTACTATTTGCGAATGGAGTGGCCAGCGCGCGTGCGTGTGTGTAGCCTATGTGTGTGTGTGTGTGTATAAGGTGTGAACGGGGGTGAGGGAAAAGGGCGTGGGGGCGTGGAGGGATTTTTTTTTCCAGTTTTTGCTTTAGGGGTGACTAGATCTAGATGCAAAATAGGTTACTGCCAAAGTCGAGCATTCTTTTTTTTTTTTTCAGTAGCCTACCTTTTGAAGGCATTTTCAAATGAAGTATAGACTCTAGATCTAGATCTAGTCCGCGAACGTTGCCCCAACCACATCTGAATATTCAACATCTACAAGTCTCTAGATCTAGACTCTAGCTCTAGAAATTGAATTTGATGCAAAAAATGCATCTTCCCAGTCCTTGCAGAGTGGCAGAATGAAAGATGACGCCGAACTCTCGTAATAGATCTCTAGACAAAAAATCTTGAGAACGGAAACCGTTTGGAGAAATAGAGATCAATCAAGTTTATTTTCCCGAGCGTTCAGAGAAATAGTCACTTCGATAAAATCATTTAATTCATCATGGCATTTGAGTAGATCTAGCCAGCAGCAGCAGCTGAGGACTCCTTCATGAAGGAGGTTGTGATTGCGAAAGGAGTGCAGCCTGGTGAAGGTGGGAGAGCAAGCTGCGTGACCCCATCAGACGCTATAACTGTAAACAACAATCAGCAGGACAGATGATGGGGTGCTTTTCTGTAGTTCCCACCCCCCTCATTTGAGCCTAGTTCTACTCTACATCTAGATCTATGTCTGATGCGCGGCGAGCTAAGATATCAAACCTGACAACTGCAAAACATCAAATTATATTACGAAGTGACTATTTCTCCGAACGTTCGGAGAAATAGTGCCGACCTTTATAAAACCGAACGGTTTCCGGCCTCGTGATTTTTTGCCTTAGATTTATTGCGAGAGTTCGGCGCCAACTTTCATTAAAGTTTCATTCTGCCTCTGGTCTGGGAAGGAACACTGCATGGCAAGCCCGCCTACAGACAACCTTCAGTAACACCCACCACCATCATGCATATGTACACACACTAACTAAACATGACCAGTGGGCAACTTTTGAATGTATGACGAGCTGAGCTGTGGATGGAGAGACAGTGTGAGTGAAAGAGCGGGTGAAAGGAAGAATGTGCGAGTGTATCCACAGGTGACAGCAACTACAAGACGACGACACCGACCCCACCCCGGCCCACAGCTCACGAACGAAAGGAACGCAGCTCAGGCAGTGTTTTGCCTATAATCCTATATAGTTCCGTTCGTAAGTCCACGATCCATTTATTTACATCCAGACTCCAGAGAAGAAATCCAGAAGTCTTGATGACCAAATAGACAACACAAAGAACAAGGATGCAACCTACAGTCGAACCTGCCCTGACGGCCACCTCTATAAGACGGTCACCTGTACAAACGGCCACTCTCCGTTTCCCCCCTTGCGTTTTTTCTATATAATTTAACTGTGTAAAACGGGCACCTACGCACCCGCGGCCACCTTATTTCAACACACAACCCCTATCACACTAAGCAATAACACCCGTCTAAAACGGCCACCTTAGTGACTCCATTTCGTTTAGTCATAAATTGTGCTTTGGCCCCTGGCGTTGTGGGCAAGCCGTCATAATTCAATCCCCTGTCGCTTTTGTTAGGTAGTCCCTCCAACCGATCATGTTGCGTAGGCCCCTCCTACTGTTGACCAATAGCTACCAATTTTCAGCTGCTGGTGAGGTAAGCGTGTGATCCCTCATAACCCATAAGCCCCGCCCAGAACTTAAACACAAATCGTAAGCGAGATGAGTGGTCACTGTTTACCAAGTCTGTAACAAAGTAACAAAGGACGTCAACATGAACTTGTGACAGAAACGTCGCTCGTTCTCCGAGTGGTGGCGACCCAGGCAGGAGTTTGTTTTTACTTCGCACTCGGTCTTCCTTGTCTGATACATTTAGTTTTATTGTCACCCTTTTGCGAAATCAGCAACAAAATAAAAATTACAAACAAAATACAAACCACCACCACCACCCAACAAAAACAACAATGCGGCTACTTTCGATTGTGACCTCTGATAGTAGTGATAGGAATAATTTGTTTTCTTCTTCTTGATCAGTCCTGCCTAAGACGGCCACCTGTCTTATACGGTCACTTTTCTCCTTGACAATGGGTGGCCGTCTTACACAGGCTTGACTGTAACTGCAAAACATCACAGGAACATCAAATTATGGTGAAATTCATAATTTTATTAAAATAGGTGAAAGCCCCCCTTAAAATTTGAAATCCCCCTACTCTGGAGTCTTAAACTTAAGACTTAACCAACAAAACTACAAAATCACCCTAGACTAGATCTAGATCTAGATTTCTTTGATTGAACTTACCCGTGCCGCCGTAATTGAGATTGCAAAAATCAATTTTCCTTTGAAGTTTTGTGATGTTTATGTCAGCAAAGATTCAAAGAACGGAATTCGGACAAAGCGTCAAAAGTGACTTAAAGGCCCTATCCTATCAACTTGATCTCCTGATCTCTGTTAGGCCGATAATCATAATATGACATCCCTGCTACTGATAACTGCTGTGATCATTTCTCCTTACATCAACAGAGCACTCCAGTGCAGGCAAGATCTAGATTAGATTCTAGATTCTAGATCTAGATCTAGATCTCTAGTCTAGATCAAGAGTAGGCCCAGTTTCGCCATAGCCGCTAGCCTAGTCAGAGTCAGAGGCAGGCGGATGAAGGGAGGAAGTTGGCAGGCAAGGCAGGGTTGTTTTATTTTCGCTGTTCGCGCGCTTTGGCTGGATTTTACTTCGCAGAAAACTTACTCAATAAATTAATGTATCTAGATTCTAACTTGTCAGAGTGAACAAGAGGACCTAAATAAATGGTTTTACAAAGGGCTTGAGTTCCCAGTTGTTGTTGCTTTTTGTAACGACGATAATGAAACACGTGTTCTAATAATGTTTTGCTTAGATGTGGTGTTCCTCAGGGGTCTGTTCTTGGACCTGTCTTGTTTACAATGTATACACAACCTATTGCTGATATTTTAAGACAATATGGCATGAATTACCATCTTTATGCTGATGACACTCAAATTTATAAGTCTATTGATTTCGATCAAATACCACTTTTAGTCGACTCTACTGAACAATGTACTAGAGATTTAAAAATATGGATGACCAGCAATAAATTGAAACTAAATGATGACAAGACGGAAATAATGTTGAGTGGAAATACAAAAGCCATTAAAAATCTCCCAGAGCTACAAATTGATATTAATAACCATACCCTTCGTTCAAAAAGAAGTCTTAAAAATCTAGGGGTTCAGTTGGATTATGATATGTCTATGTCCTCCCAAATAAGCCAGCTCAGCAAAAGTATTTACTTTCAGCTTAAGAAAATTGGCAGTGTAAGAAATTATTTAACTAAAGCAGCAGCCAAGACACTTGTAACAACACTCATTTTATCAAAGTTAGATTACTGTAATGTTATTTTGTCCGGTTTGACATCCGAAAAACTATCAAAGTTACAAGTACTTCAAAATCAAGCAGCAAAATTGATAATGAAACAAAAGAAATCAGCCCACGTAACACCAATTCTGAAAGAACTACACTGGCTGCCAATAAAAGAAAGGATTAAATACAAAACTGCCGTTCTCTGTTTTAAATGTATAAATGATAGTGCACCTTTTTATCTTAAAACATTCCTGGAATTATATAATCCACCTAGAGCCCTTAGATCAGCCTCTGACAATCTAATTCTTAAAACTCCAAAACAAAACTACAAAACATACGGCGAGCGTTCCTTTTTGTTCTTTGGTCCCCAGGTATGGAACGAAATCCCATATAAAATAAGATCTGCCCCAACAATTTCCATTTTCAAAAATCAGCTGAAGCATTTTTTATTCACAAAAGCATACCTGTCATAATGATGTACTGTGATATATATGCATGTGTATGCCAGACTGTGAGACTGAAGAAATAGCGAGTGAGAATGAGAGAGAGAAAAAGAGAGAGATAGAGAGAGACAAGAGAGAGAAAAGAGAGAGATAGCGAGAGAGGGAGAGAGAAAGAGAGAGAGAGATAGAGGGAGAGGGAGAGAGAGAGGGAGAGAGAGAGAGAGAGAGAGAGAGAGAGAGAGAGAGAGAGAGAGAGAGAGAGAGAGATAGAGTGGAAATGTTTTTCTATCTGTATAGAATTAATGTTTTAATGAATGTTTCTAGTTACTCACGTTTCAACTGTATTTTGACTGTTCGTGAATTTATATTGCATTGTATATTTTTAGTGAACACATTTTCAACCTCACTGCGAGACTGTTTTTCTGGTATAAAATTTTACACATATGCATTTATATTATATGTATAATACTTTGTTTTACGTACACATTTGTGTCGATTAATTTTTAAGATGTGATGTCTTTTTCATTGTAATGCGCATTGAGCATCTTTTAGGAAATGGAAATGCGCAGTATAAATGCTATTTATTATTATTATGATGAGGATGACGACAATGACGACAATGACAATTATGATAACTATTATCAATTCAGTTCGTGAATCAAAAAATCAAGTATAAAGTATTAATAGTATCAAAATTATGAGTAGTATAATATTATCCTTTTAATAATAATAATAATAATAATAATAATAATAATAATAATAATAATAATAATAATAATAATAATAATAATAATAAATAATAATAATAAATAATAATGATAATTAATAATAATGATAATAACAAGAATAACAAGAATAACACCAATGATAATATTAATAATAATAATAATAGTAATAATAATAACAAAAAGAAGAAGAAGAAGAAGAAGAAGAAGAAGAAGAAGAAGAAGAAGAAGAAGAAGAAGAAGAAGAAGAAGAAGAAGAAGAAGAAGAAGAAGAAGAAGAAGAAGAAGAAGAAAAAGAAGAAGGCCTGATGATGATGATGATGATGATGATGATGATGATGATGATGATGATGATGATGATGATGATGATGATGATGATGATGATGATGATGATGATGATGATGATGATGATGATGATGATGATGATGATGATGATGATGATGATGATGATGATGATGATGATAACATTTAGCCTACTAGTAATAATATAATAATCCTGATTTCTTCTGCACTTAGTTTTTACCGAAGACACGAGCCAAGAAACATTGATGACAATTAACATATTATATTTCAAGACGCATACCATTAATTAGTTTTTATAGTAGCGTGGTGAAAAAAATCAATAAAGGCTGCTGTTGTTGAAACAACGATAGACACAGACCTCGTCTGGAGAAATGATCCGCAGTTCGATGTTAGATGGGAAGGGATGACGCAAAAGATATTAAAACTTGTTTATAGATCTTGACCAATATATTGTGAGGTTAGGCTTGTCGAAAGGTGGGTTTATTAAGCACACGAAATACATTAATTTAATCTTATACTATTTTAAAAAAAACCAATTCAATTATTAAATTCATACGAAAAGACGCTTGCTGGTCGTTTGTCTAAACGTGAGTCGATCTATTACAGATTAGCAGAAATTTAGAGAAATGGAATCAAGTAGAGATGGAGACAATTTTATGAGATTATAAAGGTAGATACTACATTGTTATTTAACATACTTAAGCTTCGTAAATGGTGATCATAATAGACTTATATATTTTGATTATCATATGCATAGATGTTTTTAATTAACAGTTAATACGCATTAATTTAGCCTTAAATATAGCAATACATGTGTAGGAAACTACTTAAACATGTTGTGTCTTTCTATAGGGGACTGTCCAGTTTGTCAAGGCCCAATTAATCACAGAACAAACTACAGTTTTGTCATAGGCCCAGTTTGTCACAGGCCCAGCCCAGTTAGATCTAGTCACAGGCCCAGTTTGTCACAGGCCCGCTATGAATTGAATTTTATTTTTCAATTGTTTTTAAAGAAAGAACATTCATTGTTGAAATTTTACAGACTAAATTAAATTTGCTTTGATTTGCAAACAAAAAGAAAGAAATATTAAACAACACAAACTGAATTGACATTTTAGAGGGACTTTAGTTGCATGGTTCTTGGTGGTGTGCTCCTGCCTGCTGCTGCGCGCCGCGTGACCTTAAAATTTGTGTGGATAATGGGGGTGTGTGATGAGTCTCTGTCCGTCCGTCTGGGAGCTTGATGGAAGAGAGAGAGAGA